TCTATCTTTACAATTAATACTACAGGTAAATAAAACACAAAAAGCAACTTATGAACTAGAAAAAGAGGGTTTTCCATCAGATAAACCTTAGTCCTAAGCACAGAGGGACTTAAAGTCCCTACCATAAAGATGTTAGGTAAATGGAAAGTAAACAACCTAGTTTAACAAAGCTCTGTACATAAGTTATTAAATTGTAAGAATGTCAGAAACATTCTAAAATTGGCCCTGACAACAGTATGTCTAGATTTCCCTGAGAGTGGTGCACAAAGTCATGCGTCAGAACCAGCCAGCTCTGCAGCTGAGACTGGCCACTGCTGACATGGCCCGAAATGATCGTTTGACTTTCAGAACTGTCTAATTGGAAACTGCAGTACACACCAGCAATGGCCTGACAACAGCTCTAAGATGTTACACTGCAGATGTGAGGACGAGCACTGGAGATAAAGTCCTCCTTACCTTTCACAGTACTGCCATGAGCATGCTGAGGAGCAGAGAGTCTAACACCATTTATTCTACTGTTCAATCTGTTTTCAGTTTTCTTAATTTTCTCCCTAAATCAAACAGACACACATATATAAAGTCAACACTTTTGTAATGTCCTCTATTGAAAACATTAAATGCAGTATTACTAAAATTCTCCAGATATTTGTATAATTAAACACAAATTCTAAGAAAATCTGGAGTGTCACCATTCAGAGTGCTTAAGAGAGCGCTGCCCCCTCCCCCCACCAAACACATACTTTGATAGAAGCTTTACTTCAGTCACATGCATGGTGATAATTCAACTACAAATGTTAATCCCAAAACTAAAAAGTAAAATCCACAGCCAAGTACTGCATGCTTGTCTTTCCTAACGTTCAATATTGGAAACATTAAATTGAACCTACTTTTCCATCTGTGGCTTCCCTTTCTTCTTATTTACTGAAGATAAGCTTCGTTTTTCAGCAGAATGCTAGTAGAAATAAAAAACAAACAGACCTCAGCTATACCAAACATTGCTATAGGTATCTTTATTCTACTAGTCTCCATCACGGACTAACAAATTTTCATTTCCAGCCTACTTCTGAAGTTACCTACAGAAGCACTAAATGTATATATTCTATGACAAATATTTAATACTGATAATGAGAAAACTGTTCTTCTACAACAGATCTCGATTTTCCTTTATATGATGGCAGGTCTCCTTGATTATTGCACTTTGACTTTCTAGATTCAACAAGTCAAAAGCATAGTAATGGATACTTGCAGAAGTGAACATGTTCTGTCTTAAATCCCTTTTCTGAGTACAGCGTGGTGAAATCTCACTTTGTTCCCCCCTCCTGGACACAAGTATCCCTTACCTAGCACATCTATACCATATTCACTACTTGCCTGAGAGCAGCTAAGCACACACGAATACAACAACATAAATTATGATACTACACTGTTACAACTAACTATATAATAGCAGTGACTGTTGTTAACCCTGCATTAGGCCCACTTGTAAAGTTTATGCATAGGAAGACACAAGGTTTCCAGGTACTCTGCTGAGCACTGGGCGCTCCCTCTAAGGACAAAGAAGACTAACTGTCCAAGCAGACTGTGATCAAGGATTGGTATTGGCTATGGGTCTTCATGTGAAGTTCGGGTCAGTAAAACTGACATATTTGTCACACTTAGGAGAGGCCATACACATTGGAACAGAAGGAAAGAAGAATCAGATGCCTTTAACAAGGAGACCATTAATTATGACAGTGACAGCTTACGATTTCTCAAAATACGCTTTTGTCCATTAAAAAAAAAAAAGATGTGGATCAGTGTATTGTCAGAAACATAATAAAGTCCACATACACTCTTCTGGATAGGAAACACTGGCAACACAGTGGTGGCATATTATACTAAATGCCCCACCAGCACTCCCCTCTCATCACAGCAGTTCATAAGAAAGCAAGCATTCACTTATTACATGCAAGGAAGAGGGTGAACCTGCCTGAACACCTACGAGGAAAGGTTAGCTTGAAAATTCCTATCTTCATATCAAGTTACAGGTGGATAATCCTTTTGAGACCAAAATTAATAATAATAATGATAAATTGGAACAATTTAATGAACCCCTAGAACTAAAGGCTTCAAGTATCTTACTAAATTGCATTCGTCTTACACAATCACATCTTTTCAGACCCCTGAGGAATTACATATAAGGTTAAAGCCTCACACTGGAATGTTCCCTCACTTCTTACCAGATAAACAGAATGCTTACAGTACTCATTTCTTAGGAAAAACAGAGCAGCAATACTTTAACCAAATGGTGCCAAAGCCAACCTGACACATACTTGGTCAGCAGAGGTCACACAGTGCTCTGGGTGCTGGATGGTGGCACAGCCTTGGTTCCTCCAGTCCACAATTCCATTCTGCTCTGCATACTGCACGGTAAGCCCATCCAATGGAGAACAGCTTGTGCCAACACTGCTAGGCAAAGGAAAGCAGACGACAGTGTGAAGTCTGTGCACACAATGTTGCCTATTCTACCACCTCAATGAAGAAGCTACAGGAACCCTTGCTCTAACCTCTTAGTTTCTGTTTTTGGAGTGTCTAGTGATTGCTATAGCAGCATATGGAAACAGGTATATTCTAAGACGTGAGTATCTAATGTATCATTAAGTGTCTACTTGCCGTAAGTGTCTGTGACTGAGGGGTCCCTGCTCCACCGTCAGTCAGCTCAACAGAGACACTGCACAGCCTGGATGAGGTAAGAAGTGCTGAGTGAAGATCTGTATGAACAGTACGAAGGGTCAACACAGAGCGCCTGGAAACCCCTCCAAATACAGACCACAGCATGGAACTAAAGTACCCAGAGAATGAAGTTTCTGGGGATAGACTGTGGGTGTTGAATACAGTCGCTGGAAGAACCAAATGTAAAATCTTCAGCTGCAAAATGGTGTGAATAATGTAGTGGTTTGGAAGCTGATGATGAGGAGAACTGAAAGGAGTTTAGTCTGAAGAAAATACACAGGAGAAGAAAAAAAAAAGTAACATAGAAATGTAAAAGACAAGCAGGGTGTGTGAACAGCCCCATTCATAAGGACCTCAGTGACTCTAACAAGATGGCTCAGGAGAACAGAACAGAAGGAATATCTGACGGCATAAGCTAGGAATTTTGTAAAATCAAAAAACATAATGTTACAGATTCTAGAAGCAGAATAAATACAAAAACAGCTACAAAGTCTATCATAGACAGGTGAGCAAACTCCAAAAGCACCAGGAGGAAAAACTACCAAAAGAACAGCAGAGACTGTTCTAAAGCGACGGTTCTTGAGGGGATCTCAGAGAGGAGGAGCAAGGGCTGCCTGTCATATGCAAAGGAGCTCCAAGATCATCTATAAAGAGAGGAAGCAGGTGCCCACACAATCAGCAAGGGCCCCAGTTCGGAAACCAGGAAGCCTTGCGGCAACTGAGTGAGTGGGGCAGAGCTATTGCCATGTGGGCTAGAAATCAAATGATTTTATGTGAGCTGCCAGAGACATCAAAGGTGGCTGATGGGGTTCTCACACAACAGGTGAAAACCGTATGACCAGAAGACAGTCAAGCAGAGATTCAAAGAGCTAACAGAAAACAACTGCCAACCTAGAATCACATACCAAGTAAAAAGGATTTTTAAAAAATGAAGGCAACTGTTTTGTTAACTCCCATGGGAGGCCTGCCCCTTTCTCGATAGAGATGGAGGAGGAGTGGTTAGGGGAGGGGTAGATGGGAGGTAGGAGAAAGGAACAGGAGAGAAGGGAGGGGAAACTGTGGTAGGTATGTAAAATAAATGCAAAAGCTACAATTACCTTGATACCCAAGACACAACTAAGAAAGAGAACTATAGACCAATTTCCCTCATGAACATCGATGCAAAAATACTCAATAAAATACTCACAAACCGGATTCAAGAACACATCAGAAAAATCATCCACCATGATCAAGTTTAATAAAAAAATTTTTTAATGAAGGCAAACTATATTTTTTTCCTTCAGATAAAAACTTAAACTGCAATCAGTTAAGTGTAGCTCAGTGATAGAAGGCTTACCTGCATTTGTGAGTACCTATGTCCAATATCTAGTAATACCAAATGTACACACACACACACACACAAAAGCTAACTGCATTTACCATATATGATATATGTCAGGAAACAGTGCTTTCATTTAAAAGGAAAACCATCACAGGTGGATGCTTAGGGATGAGAGGAGCAAAAAGGGATCAAGAACAACACTGGAAAAGGGCACCACAAAATTTAAAGCTATGAAGAGAATGAAAATGCATGATGATTACGATTTATAACTCAGGGGAAAAAAAGTGAAGTTACAGTGCTCCAAGTTCCTCAGATTACTTGAGAAATACTGCAAGCACAAATTAACATTAGACTTAACGAGGTGAAAGGTGCATTACAATTTTTAGGGTAACCACCAGAAGAACAAAACACAGCTGCCGCGAGAAGATTTTCCTCCAAAAGGCAGCAAGGAAGGAGGAAAAAGAGAGCAGCAAGACCAAAAAAAAAAAAAAGAGAGAGAGAGAGAGAGAGAGAAAGCAAAATGGCAGAGTCTCAGCCGATAAATACACGATAAATACATGAGAAACTTAACTAAATGGTAATGACTCCAAGGAGCACAAAGACATTTGCTGTAGAAGTCAGATACCTACTTCACTGCCGGACTCTTCCCAGCATGTTTCTTGTGCATTATGGTGTGCTGTAACACATCTAGGGCAGAAAAAAAAAACCACGATTAATTCAGGACATGTCGTACAAACTGAAGCAGCTCAACACTGATGGTCCCTGCCGAAGACTGCAACCCAGTTCCCAGCACAAGGGGAGTTTATGCTTATCTCTGTGAGACAGGGTCCACTATACAGTACAGGTTGACCTCTGATTCCAACTCCTGCCTCACCATACTGGGTCCTGGACTACCACTGGGCACCACCACTTTCAGTTTGTAGAATATACTTAACACATCTCTAATTACCCAACACAATACCAAATTACCTCAAATGTACATACCAATCTTGCTCAAGATTATGCAAATTTACTATGAGTGTGTTACTTCAAACTGGATTTACTTCAGGTAAAACTATTTATTTCTCTTTAAAAAATGATGTCCATATGTTTTAAAGTCTCTCAGAAATACATATACCCATGTACCAGACTACTTTCTAGTTGCTTTAAAAAAAGATACAATGTATGAGGTAAGGCTAAGGGTCTCTCTTCACTCCACTCCTCCCCTCTACAGAGGTCTAACTACTATCTATGCTGTTGAAGCACTCCAGTGAAAGTTCCATTTAACTACTTGCATATGTATGGCCATTATAAACTCATACTGGGCTGTGGAGTGTTGAATATGCTACAAATATCCTTTTAACTCCTGCCCAGCAGACATCACTACTTAGCTGAAACACGCTCTGGCACTTGTGGCTACAAACCACGCTGCAGCCTGCACAGGGGCAAGTTTCACAGATGCACAGTCAGCAGGCAGCAGCCGCCATCTCCAGCTTCACTGCATCATGCCAAATTCTGTGCAAACACGTTGGCAATTTGCATCTCATCCAAAACGCCCGTGCTCTTACTGCCACAGTGCGTGGCGTCAGACTGGAAATGAGTCCCCAGCCTGCAGAATGTGCACTTGTCTCACTGTCCTTCCCTTTCCTTCTCGATTACCCGTGAGGCTGTACGCTCATGAGCTTGAGGGCTTCGCCATCCATAAACTTCCTAGGATGACTTTTTCACTGATTTCTGGAGGAGGATCCTTCCATTGTGAGCAACTGGTCTTCTTCCTGTCAACTCCCTGTGGACTGTCTTCTAAAAGTATCTGGGCTCCTTGGTCATATATTAAGTTCTTGCTTAGTCATATGTACAGTCATGTTTACAGCCTTAGTAAACAAAACCTTCTCTCCCTGGGTTTACACATAAAACTTTAAACTCTCCATTTTGCAAAAAGTTGTATTCCCTTGAAAGTTCTGTGCATGACATATGGTGGGATCTGATTAACACAACACATCATATAGGAAGACAAATGTGCCACCACCACAACCTCTTCCTTGTCCTCTGTACTGCAATGCCATTCATTTGACACATCCCAATGCCCCTGTCTGTAACTGGGTTCTCCTGACTCTGTTCTGACTGGGACAGTGTATGCAGACTTAGTCTAGTGAGTCTACAATTACCTTCTTCTTGACTTGAAGCTTCTGAGCTGTCTTCTTTTAAGTGTTCTAATATCTTAGAAGTCTTCAGAGAGGACTGTAAGTTATCTGCAGGAAATAATTCAATACTACTAACTCTGGGAAAATTATAATAGTGAGATAAAGAAAATAAGTATGATTATCCCTCTGCCCCAACAAGAGGAGAGTGAAGGGTTACTGGTCAAAGAACCTTTCTCCAAGGTAGGACTTCAAGAATGCACAGGAGTATTTGACTGCAGTCTTGGAACAAGCTGCTCCCTCAGGCACCAGCTGGCTGAGCAAGTCATCCCACACCAGCCAACCCCAGGATATTCACCCACCACAGGACTACATGGAGAATGTGCCTCTGCTGTCTACTGTCTAAACTTCCTTAAACTTCTAGTTTGTTGTACACTGTTATTTTTTAAACCCTGCAACAACACTGTGGCAATACTGAATTGCTATAAAACTCAATCTCTTTTGTTATGGAGCAATGATTGTGGGTCAGCACTGACCCACAGGACCCATTCTGACAGCAGGGGATCCCAAGAGTTATCTATGAGCATATGGGACACTGTTCTCTATCCCAGGGTAACAAAAGGTAGAGGTTTTGTTTTGTTTTTTTAAGTGTGCAAATGAACCCTGAAAACACTATGATATTCTTCAGCAAAACAACTCACACACACATATATATAGACTGCTGACAAGTTTCCCCACAATTCAGGATGTGTACATTCAACAGTATTTTACGTGTTCAATCTTCAGATAAAATCTGCCAGGATCCTTAGCATTGCTTATGAATTTAAAACCTTGCCAAGCCCTCAAGAGACTCTGTCTTATGTATATACATGCTTCCCAAGTGCGTAACTTTCCTCGGCAGGGAGATAATCTGTGCTAGAAGCTTAACTCTGTTTCAACACCTTTTTAAAATGAACCAGGTGCTACTGGTAGATACTATTAAAAGAAATCTAACATTTTGACTTGGGGAGAAGTGCTGACGGTTAAGTCTACAGAGCTCCAGAATAACTACGAGTTGAAGAAGCACTGTCACTTATTCAGGCAGAAACTCAGCCACGGAGCCACACAGTTGCACATCTTGTCCCAGTCAACTAGTCACAGAAGTAAACTTTTGATCCTAACGGCTAACTAGGTTCCAAACACTTGAGGCATGTACCTGCGCACCACACGTGACACTCTAGCAGTTAGCGAAACTTGGAAACTAATACACATTGAACAGTTAATCATACTTTTTAATCTCTCTTTTTATATCTCAAACTGAGGAGGCATGCATTTTCTTTTTCCTTTAGGTATATAAAAATGACAACTGAAAACAAAAGGAAAGATTTAAAGAGATAATGTTCCTCAAAATACTGGCTGTGCTTACAGTGAGTAGAAAATATCTGTGGAACGTATCAGCATTATTGGCAACGTATCTGTTCAAAAGTCAGGCTGAGGAGAACTGGTATAAGATTGAACACAGAGAGGACTGATGAACACTGAGACAGGAAAGCACAACACATAGAAGCAAGACTGGGAAAACTCAAGGGGCAGTGACAGCGATGGCCACACAGAACCCAGAATAGTAAGCCACAGGCTCTGTGAAGAGCTGAGCTTTCAAGGAGCTATAGCCTAAGGGGTCCAAGGGAGCTCAAGGACTTTCATTAACACCTGATTTCTTACCAAACTTCTAAGATCTTTTTCAGAGAATTAACAAGTAAAATGTATCCCCACAATAGTTCTGAGATGGGGTACACAGCAACGTTTTGTAAGTAGTAGTACACAAACAGAGCAAAACAAAGCCCAACTGAAGACAACAGAAAGGCTGGGAAGAGCCAATAGAGGACAGCGTCCTTTGTCTAGGACAGGCTGGGCTGCAAGTGCTGACTATGTGCAGGTGGCAGAGATGGATAAGGCTAAGGGACTATAACAGTCAGCACAGGATGGTACTACAGGAAGGGACACGGCACACCCTGCCCCAGAGCAGCCAACAGTTACGCAAGCAAGTCTACTTGGTTCTATTGCACTCACTGGGTCATTATCTTTAAAGCTACAGTGTAAAGTTCACTGAAGAGGCCAAATATTTCTTAACTGCATGTTTCTATTCCTTAACTTTTAGCTAAAGTTCTTCAAGTTTGAACAACAAGGTAGCATGGTAAGACACGAAAGCCAAGCAACAAACAAACCCTATAAAAATCCCAAATACAAAACAAAACAAAAACACTTCCCAGATTCCCACTGAGGAGCGGAGGGCACTTACTGACACTGTGCTGAGACTCCGAGGACAGTGACCGGAAGAAGCTGCGTACTTTCTGACTCTGAAGAAAAGCCTGGGATGAAGTTGAAAATAGCTGCCTGCGTAAGAAGAAGAGTTACATTAACTACCAGTGTACACATCTGTAGTCTCCATTCAGATTAAAGTCAATGTAAGTGACAGGGGAGAAGGGACGGGGAGGGTGTGTGAGTGTGTGTATGTGTGTGGGATGGGGCAGGGTGTGAGTGTGGGGGGGGGATGGGGCAGGGTGTGTGAGTGTGTGTGGGGGGGGATGGGGCAGGGTGTGTGAGTGTGTGTGTGTGTGGGATGGGGCAGGGTGTGTGAGTGTGTGTGGGGGGGTAAGAGGTGGTAAGCCAAACCTTTCCCCAAAGAAAGTATTATTTTTCTGGTGTATTTACACAGGAACAAGGAAACTTTAACAAAACCCATTTGCAAGAATCTACTAAACAAAGCGAGTTCCAAGAAAGCCTCCAAAACAATACAGAGAAACCCTGCCTCGAAAAACCAAAAAAAAAAAAAGAATCTCCTAAACATAGATTTATTTTTTATGGGGCAGTTTCCAAAGCTGCTTTTCTAGTCAGAAAGAGGCCTGCAAAGCTCCCTCCTCCTCATGCACACAGCTGTGCATCACTTGGCTGTCCTATCGAGGGGCCTCCTCACATGTGAGGAGAGGCTGTGAAGCTTGTGATGTCAGGGGTTCTAGGAAGCAGGGAGCACAGTGACAGGGTACCACCACAGCATATGGAAGGTTTAGTCTGCACTACACCATGATTCTAACTCACCTTAGAAAACCAAAGGGCCCTGCAGGAGTGCTGGGAACCGACCTGCAGCCCTCAAACAGTTAGGCAAGAACTTGGCCACCTAGCTGTCCCCAGCCCTGTTTTTACTTATTTTTCCTAATTCTTATTTGGGGATAAGGTCTCAGTCAGTCAGAATTGCCCTGAACTCCTATAGCTCATGCCAGCCTGGCCATGCTGCTAGGCCCAGACTCCTCTTGCTTTTGCTTTATATAGATTCTGTTTTCAATGTTCAACTCTTAGAAGTTAATTTATATAACAATAATATTCTAAGTACCTTTCTGGAGATGGGTTCTCATGTTGCCTGTGCTTATCGTAACTCCTGAGCTCAAGTAATCTTCCCATCTTGGGGCACCAGTGCTGAGGACTATAGGCCCATACCACCCACATTCAGCTTATATAATTAACTTTGAAGTAAGAAATGGCGTAACATGCCAAATGTCCTTTACTACTGAGCTATCCCTGACAATTAACCAACAATCTGGAAATTATCTTAAAAGAGACAGATGACACAAAAACAAAGACTGACATAGCTAGCATCTGAAATTTCATTTTAAGCATCATAACTAAATAACACAAGACAAATTGTCATTGTTGATTCTTATTTCATTGAAAGAGCTAAGAAAGCCACAAAAATCTAAACAGATAGATAAAAATTCATGATTTCATAAAATAAACTAACCTTATAGGAAGATAGAAAGAAAGCAAACCTAAGCCACGTGACAATGATCCATCTATCAAACCAGCTAGTTCTTAAAAATGGGCTCAAAGTTTGCCCAGCTATGGAAAGCCAGGGTCTGAGCAGAAAGCAAGCCAATTTCAACCAGTCTCTCCTTAACAATTAATCATAAACCTGGGAACATTTTAGGTACAAACACTGGGTTACAAAGCAGATGGGATAGACTTTATAGCCACTCAAATGGTTCAAATGAGTTCATGATTCAGAGGAAATAGGTCCCATTCAATGGAAATAGTCCCCCCTCCTCTATTGGGGAGCAAGCAATCTTACTTTCCCCCTTCTCAGCCACACTGATCCTAGGAACACTCTGGGACATAGTTGCCCTTAGGAAGGCAACCCAGAGGGGGCTCACTTAAGCCTGACCCTGAGCCACATGGTCATGCTTTTGCTTAGCCTTTTAATAACTAAGTTTCCAGTCAAACAGCAATTGCTTCCTTGGCATCTTGGAGGGGCAAGCTGCTAACTGCCACGACCAAGCTCTAACCCTGGCATGTAAGCAACTGCTCCACCTCAGGATGCATGTCTTGAACATCCCATGCCAATCCCAATGTGATTCTAGTGCTTTGTGACCTGGAATACTCCCACGATTCTCAGTGCTGTATGTTCTACATGATCAGACTCACTCCACTCTTCCCAGTTCAGCTTAAATCTGAATGCTCACTTTTCCAAGACTGAGTTACTTTGCTAAAACCCCTTGCCTTATCCTAATGTTCTACTGAGGAAAGCCTCCTTTCAAGACAAATGCAACCATCCACTTTCTTTATACTGAGACAACAGGGAAACACTGATGCTCCTGTGCAGCTTCTTAGTTTCCTGCACTCAATTATTCTCTTAGATCTTGCACATGATAGACTTGTTTCATTTTGTTTTAAAAGACAGGGTGTTACTATGGAGCCCTGGCTGGCCTCTAATTCAGAGATCCATGTGAACAAATTCTGGGATTAAAGGTGTGAGCCACCACGCCCTACCTACAGAGCTGTAACTCCCCTTTCCTCTCTAGTATTTGATCCTTCGGTCTTTCCCTTCCTATGCAACCCTTGTATGTGAGTGACAATCTAAGATCCTTTCAAATCCCCATCACAAAGCAGGTTAACTTGTTTATACCCACTCTTGTATTTGTGGGGGAAGGGAAGGACCCTGTATCACCCATTAACCTGCTGGCCCCCAACTCATGAGGCATGGCTCTGGGAGTGAACACAGGTAGGGTTTAAATACACCAGAGACCATATTTAACCTTCATCTGAGCAACACATACATTCCCAATGCTACAACACCTTCACAAGGGCAAAGCCCTGACCTTCAGTAGCACCGGGTGCCAGGAGGGCAAGGGGCAGTGAGCACAAGCTGAGGAGGTCACTTTCTTCCACTCCCTAGATGTCCAGTCTCTCCCAAGCCTAGCTACCAGACAAGGACATCGTTAATAACATTTTATGGAAAAACAACAACAAAAACCTAAGAGGTTTAACTCACGATACCTTCAAGTTAAAAGAACCAACAGTGACAAACAGGGTTGCTACCTTCTGCTGTGAGCCCAGGCCTATGCAGAGGAAGGGTCTCTGGTCTCCCTCAACAGTCTGTCCTAAGCATCTGTGGCTGTTACCTGAGGATGGGCTCCAGGTCAGGGTGCCGCCGCTCTTCCCTTTTTAGAGAACCCTGATTCAGGGCTCTTAAGATGGCCTTGTCAAAGGTCTCAGAAGACAATTCCTTTGGAAGCTACAGGAGAAAAACACAATATCCAATGCTGAGCTTCACTCAAATATATGAATAAATAAACTTAAAAAAAATACCTTCTCCTCATTAGCCACCCCCAAGCATACTTTCCAGGCACCAGGCTGAAGGGGCACAGGTCTGTCCTAGAGGAAGCAGATCTTCTGGGGCTTGCCTGGTGCATGGTAAACCCAAGATTTCAGCACAACTTCAGTGTACGGCATGCGAACCTCACACTCCAAGGCCCTCTCCCCTTCCGGGTGTCATCCATACAGAGCTTCAAGTTAAACTGAGCATACTAGTCTGAAAAGTGTTATCTCTGCCTTTACAGTTATCGAAATGTTGGAAAATTAAATACTATATGCCAAATAAAGAACACAGTTATAAAAGATGGATCAAATTCTTGCAATTTTATTTACATCAAAAATACCCATCAGAGCTAGTGATGGTTCATCAGGCGGAAGGATTTGCTGCTCAAGACTTGAGTTCAGTCCCCAGCATCCAGGTAAAGTGGACAGGACAGGTGACTCTTCAAAGCTGTCCTCTGACCTCTACATGTACCAGACACTGCACAACTCACACCACAATTATAAAAAACAAAAGAAAACACACCCCTCCCGAGTGTTCCTCAACTAGCACTGTGCTAGTATCTGTAAGAAAGTATCATTTGGCGAAGAAAAAAATGTAAATGAAACCAAACTCTATCACATTATTTAACTTCCTTAAAAATATTTCTAGAAAACAAGTTCCAAAACTAACTCTAAGTTTTTCAAGAATTTGGTTTTGACTTTTGTGATTAACTTCTTAATTACTGTCATTTTCACTAAAATTAAGAATAGTTGTAAGAGTAGAGTAAATCCTAAGGAGCCACAGACATAAAAGTCTACATCACTTGGTTTACAAGGCAAAAATTCTCTAGTAAACACAGCGCTCAAACAGGGCACAGAGAGGACAAAAGTGGCAGCACCGCTGAGGTCGGGCAGTGACTAAGGCATGGCATGTGGGCAGTGTCTGCAAATCAATCCGGGGAAATCACAACCAATGGCATCCACACACTACTATGGGAAGCAAGTCCTCCAACTGCCAGTCTGAAGAAACAAATTCTGAATCAACACATTCCAAATAAGAAACTTAATTTCAAGGAAGACACTTTGACATTAAGCATATTAATATAGGTTTTTGTCAGTAGGCATTTATTACTAATTTTAAACATTAATAAATGTTCTAAAACTTTTCTTTAATATATCTAGTGTGCACATGTATATGTATGAACATGTATGTATGTATGTATGCATGCATGCATGCATGCATGCAAGTACATATACATGTGGTGGAAGCCAGAAGTTGACACCAAGTATCTTCCACTATTGCTTCCCATCTCATCTTTTGAGACAGGGTCTCTCTCACTGAATTCAGAGTTCACTGATTAGGTAGAACTGGCTGGCCAGTGATCTCAGGGGATCCACCTGCCCCTAAACACAACAATACTAGGGCTACAGACATGGTTGACTAAACTCAGCTTTTACATGGTTGTTCTTGCTTGCATGGCTAACATATCTACAAGCAAGTTATCTCCCCAGTACACTGACAAAGAAGTCTATTCCAATTTTCTAGTCACTGATAGTTGCTCTACACAACTGAGGATTCTATCATGCAAAATTCCACCAAGTTAACGGCAATGTTCACATTACTGGGTTGAGTGTGGACATGCAGACATCAGTATGCAACATAGTTTATTGTCATGTTGTTTTTGTCTTTTTTTCCCCAGGGCCCACTCAGATGGAAGGGAAGTTTATTTGTAAAAGTAAAGCTTTTAAAGTTTGTCTTTTGTATTCTGTATTGGATTTTTCTCCTCTTTGCATCTTGTGTTGGCCTCTGCACAACCTCAGAATGATGAAAGTTTTGGATCTAGATTCAAAATGCCAAAGCCTAATGTGCAGCCATTTATCTTTAATTTTTCTTGTTGACAAAGTTAGCAAGAATAAATTGTTGATTCACATTAGGGAACTACAGCCTTCAACTCAAGAAGTCTCCTAAAAGGTTAAGCAGCACACGTGGGGATGAGCCATCTTAATCTGTTGCACGGCTTCAGAGCCAACCTGGATGACCCCATCACTGGCACCACTGATGGGTTATTTGTCAAAGAGTCTTTTGTTAACTGATAGTCTTTGCAAGTGTGGTCAGCTATCCTCTCCTGTGCATTAGCAACGTGCAAACATTCAGAAGCTTTGCTGGAACTAGCTCACCATGACATGTGACAAACACAATGACCTAAGTTGATCAGTCTTATCTCCATATAAATGAAAGTCTCTTCCCTTACACTTCATGAAGTAGGGCACCATGAGGCAGGCCCTCATTGAAGAAGTCCTTTACTCTGAAAAGGAGCCAGTCAACTTAAACTGTGCTATAAATGCCAAACCTGTCTTTCCTACGGATCCATTGCCTTCACACTTTAACAGCCCATAACTGTGATGTTAAGAATTGAAAGCCAGGCTTCCACCTTTCAACTTTTGGAGGAGAGACCCCAGGTTGAGTACCATGAAGAGAGCACTGCAGCACTGTCAGCCGAACCACAGGGTTCGGTTTGGTTTCTGAGCCACACAGTCTGTTAGGTCCAATGCAGCCTTGCCAACCTAATTCTTCGGTTCAAGGGTCTCTAAAGTAGAGTCCAGACGTCAGGGAGTAGTTTTCTCTTCATGATTAGACACCTGGGTCTGGTTTGATAAATGGCCCCAATCTGGAAGCTGCTATACAGTGGTGAAAAATACAGCTAGCCGTGTGCACACTACATGTGCACCAACAGCTGCTCTGTTCTAATGTTAAGACACTGAGGTTCAAGTATACTCTTTAAAAGGGACTGCAGCTTGACCTTGAGGGAGGTCATATATCTACAACTGTTCCTGTATATTCATTCATGAAACCTCCCTACAACGTACAGTAAATCTCACTCACTCAAGGAGTTAGCAAGCACCCAAACTCCTACTCTGCTCTCAGAAACTGCTGATACGACAGCAAAGCAAGCAATAAAAACTCATAGAGCTGCTGTGGTAATATAAAACAAAACTGGAGGGGGCTAGGACTGGAGGTCAGAAGCTGCTGTTCTCCCTAAATAAGAACTCAGCCCCCCACCCCCACGCTTCTGGAAACTGTAGTGCAGCTCAGCAATAACCACACCCCTTCACAGTGTCACTACAGGTGCTCAGAAGGAAGGGCAGGTTCTGCTCCAGGCTTCTACACACAATGTTAAAGATGGGAGCAGGCAACTTGAAGAATATTCGACAAGAGGCAGTTCATTTCTCAGGTAAGAGTGGTGTTCACACATTTAAGAAATGTGCTTCAGTCAAATGCTGGCTAAGCAGAGGGATTAATTACCTCCACCCAGAAGGATGAGTTAGACATTTGGGGTTTTTCTTTTGTAAGGCACTTAGCTTTTAGAAAAGCTATGTGACAGAAGAAATGTAATCTGTCAAGACACACCACTGCTGAAGCTTAGGGAGATGCAGAAGAAAGGAGGCTTGCTAGAAGGCAGGCCAAGGCCCAGCAGAGGGGTCATTGAACTCCTGCAGGGAGATAGAAGGACAGGTGGCATCAAACAGCCCTGCTCCGTATCCCAGCTCATTCTCCAGCACTGGAGTTGTGTCGCTCAAGAAGAAGAGAGAACAAAGAAGGGGACGAGCACCCTGTTGCCAAACCCAACCAGTGACTGCTCAGACTTCTTATTTACCTTACATTAAACCCTGGTGAGTGTATCCTATTGAGACACAAGAGAGCTAGTGATAAGCAGAAGAGGTTCACAGATGCATGCAAAGAAAAGAGGGCAGACCCAACCCTTTGGCTTACTCATCAGAAGCCAGTCAGACGCTCCTTTCCCTGATGCAATGCTGCCTGGCTCTCAGCTCCTGTTAGGGTCACAGCTCCTCATTTCTCTGATACCTTTCTGATTGTTCCTTTAAACCCGGCATAAAGAGACCGGTGCTCAGAATGTCCACCCTTCTATCACCGTCTTCTCTCCCACCAAACTGTGTAAGGCTAATAGGTTATGGGAGGGACATAGGCCCTGATGACTAGAAATGAATGAAGCCCACCTTATCTTTACAGACAGGCAGGAGGAGTTCTTAGCCCTTAACTAAGAAACCCCAGAAACCTATATAAAACAAAGTACTACTGGTCCAAACAAAACCAAAATCCAAACACTGATAAAATGACTTCTAAGGGCATTCTGCTGTACACCTAGATGAGTGCCCTATACAGCCATCATCTGGTAGGCTTTCTCCTGAAGCAGATGGGAACTAGTACCCAGCCAGACATTACACATAGAGAGACCTTGGAAGACACAGCTCTAAATGGGATGTCTCCATCTAATCCCTCTCCTCAGAGCTCAGGGGACCCCACAGAAGGGGACACAGAAAGAATTTAAGAGCCAGAGAGGACAGAGGGCACAGGAGAACAAGGTGCTCCAATCACGAGCTCACTGGGACTGAAGCAGCAAGCACAGGGCCAGCACAGGTCCACGCCAGGTCCTCTGCACACATGTTATAGCTTCAGTTTAATATTTTTATGGGATTCCTGCATGTGTGAACAAATGGGTCTCTGATTCTTGTGCCTTCTTCTTGGGTTCTTTTCCTTCTGTTGGTTTGCTTTGTCCAATTTCAATGTGATGGTTTTTATTTTATCTTACTGCATTTTGTTATGTTTGCTTTCTCTCAGAAGCCTTTTCCAACGAGAGAAAAGGAGTAGATCTGGATGGAGGAGGTGGGGAGGAACTTGGGAGAATAGAGGGAGGGTAAACTGTAATCAGGATATAGAGTACAAGAAAAAAAAAACCTCTTTAATAAAAGGGGATAAAGAAAGACAATTCAGCTTAAAATAAGCCACAGGAAAAAAAAGATGTTATTCAACTGACTTAATACAGACAGACTAACACATGCAGCACACTGATAATCTGATAGCGTATCAGAGAATCAGCCCCCAGTGTTCTGCTCAAAGCCTGCATATGGGTGCAAACTCTGGCACACACATGATCTGAACAGAAGACACATGTAGTGACAAGCACACCATGTGAAATCAAGCAAAATCCTCAAGTGTCAGGTGCTGTCAGTCCAGTAATGACACTATCATACAAAACTTGGTAACCAAGTTAGAACATTTCCTGTTTCTGGATTTTTTTGGATCTATCTACTTGTTAAACAATAAAGTATTTGCTTACTAAGCAATAGTAATTTATTGTTCACACAGGCCAGTTCTCTCTTTTACTATTTCTTTCATTTTTCCACTAAATCTAATCAGAAAACTTTATTCAAAGAAACAGGTAAGGATGTGCACAAAGCAAGCCTGCAGGAGACAATTCCACCATCTTCTCATTGCTGTGGATGCGGTGGGAGGAGGACAGACTCTGGGAAGAGAAGGAGCAAGACTTAAGAAAAGCCCACAGACGGAGAGCTTCATGGTTGCTAGGTACCACAGGAAATGAGCCTCGGGACACTGCAGACACTGTCTCTGGGGGAAGAGCCCTTAGTAAGAAACATCTCTGCAGGGAGCTAATAATGGGGACCCATTTCCTAAAGTGAATCCCTTTGCCATTTATGCTGGCAACATAAGGTAAGAGATAGACAATGTAACATTTTCTACAACTCACATTCTTTCAGTTTGGAGTCAACCTATGTGTGTTTTCATTTTCTTGCTGATTCCTTTCTCACTGAAACTTTAGGAATCTTTATATCATATACAAATCTTAACAACAAAATCTATAATTTTACCTTCAGTAGAAATTCCTGTAGCTCTTGGTGGGTTTTTGTTACTGTTGTGACTGAAAGGTCAGACCAATTTACCTGATTTAAGAAAACACACATATTGTATGGTTATTGTTTAGGCAGGAACTGGCTGGGGAAAAAGCCATGTGTAAAACAAAAGGTCTTACTTAAATTTTAAGATTAGCAATTAGAAATATAAAGTTCATCTAGCATTATCAGTTTCTACGAATGTGTTTAATTGTACATTGACATTCTACTCAAAAAAGTTTTCCAATAATTCCTTTTAAATTGCACTTTAAAAAAGCAGTGTTAAAACATATCTATGTTTTAGTAATCTTCAGGAACTAATTTTTCAGAAACATCTTGCCACTTTGATTAAGTACAAAAATGGTACTAAGACAGGGTAGAGCCAAATTATAAAATCCTGTCCCCTGGTGTACAATTCTAAGAGAAACAGTCAATGCAGACTGTCCCTCTGGTAGTACCATTTTACAGTTGAGGGAGATTTATCTTCTGATTTCAGATGGTACAGCAATTCTGACTACATCCATTTTCAGATGGAGAAAATGATGAGCTAAGTGTGACCCAGAATGAACACAGAATCCAGGACTGGACCCGGCTGTGCTGGCTCCTGAACCTTAATTTCCACTTGAGATGTTAATATCTAATTCTTATCTATTAACCATATCAAAGTTAGGTAATACATACAAAATTCCATCTAGCAACCGTGTTTGTTGGTCGGTACATTTCTTAAATGATAATTATCTACCTGGGCATGGGTAGGTGGATACCAGAGTAGACATGACAACTGAAGTATGAGTTAAGTCTCATGCCAGAGTAATACAAAACCAAGGAACGCCTAAGAGTTTCTACCAGTCACCAGTACTTCAAAGATGGAGACTTGGGCCTGAAACAAGATCAGCCGGGTATTAAGGCAGTTCTCTAGAGAGGGGGTATTTGAATCAGATGTTAGCTGTACTTTGGTCCAGGGTAAGGAGAAAGGTCCTACAGACAAGCTGTGCACCCCAACAACTAACGGAGAAGCCAGCATGCAGAGTTTCAAGGGCAAAGAGCCAAATACGCCAAAAGTGAGACATGTGGAAACTGAAACCACACAGTCAAGGATTTTCCTCCTTCACAGTAGAAGTTCAGATTTTAAAATTCATTCAGCAAATGTACTGAGCAAGGCAGACACTGTAGGATGGCAGGGGATGAAGATGAACGCTTCCATAAGATGATCTACTCAAGGATTGGTGGGAGCTATAGTAGCAGCAGTCTGCAGAGGAAGGAGAAAGCACTCTACCAGAGGTTAGAAGAGTCTTCAGGAAAGAGGGACAGCTAGAAGGTGGCAAGCAGTGCCTGTGGGAAGAACTGTAGTGAAGCTGCAGAGAAGCCTGGCTTCACTCCATGAAGCTTCAGAGTACGTGTGATCCAACCTCACAAGGCTCAACAGTGAGGCTGCAGCAGAGGAAAGCAGGTGGAGAGTCTTACCCTGGCAGGAGCAGAATTTGACCGGACCCTGGGATTCACAGCCAACAAGACGACAAAGCCACAAAGCAGGGATGGAAAGCCCCATGAGGAACAGGGAAGCATGGCAGTGATGCCAGGACAGAGAAGGTTGGTAGTCTGCAAATACTTGTGAAAATCTTTGCATTGCTTTTTAAATATCTATCTATCTATCTATCTATCTATCTTTTGTCTTTAAAGTAGTAAACTTGGTAGCAGTTAGTTCTTCTAAAGGTCAATTATTGTGGCAAATGATGTATCTTTTGGGGGTGAGAATAGCTTACTTTGAAAGTGTACTCCCAATACTTGTCAGCCCTTTTTCTCTGCACTCCTTTCAACATTATCTTCTCAATGTGTACAGCTGAAAGAAAAAACACACATGCTGACTGCGTTAGAGATTACACACATATTACCTGAAATAATCCTGTAACTTAGCAAATGCCAGTAATTAAGCTACTTACTAAGTTAATCTTCACAACGACTTAACTCATGAAACAACCAGATACACAGCAAAAGCCACTCATCCATGAGCGGATGTTTCCTACATAGGTTAAGATGCTGAATGCCTAAGAGGGTCACAGTCAACAACAACAACAACAACATACTCAAAGACGTTTTACTGGAGATTTTTCATTAGGGATAATAATGAAAATTCTTATTGAGATTATAATAATACAGCACTTTGGGATCAACTAAATATGCACAGCTTGTTTAGTTATTTATATGTAATAGTAGTAAGTTAGAAAATATCTTGTTTTGCTTTTGTATAAGTGTCTTATGTGTATAAGTGTTGTGCCTGCATGTATGTATGTGCCACATGCATTCCTGGTGCCCACAAAGGCCAGAGGTGAGTTTGTATCTCCTAGAACTGGTAAAACGTAGTATAAACCAAGCACTATAAGGAGCCCTGAAGTCTCACTGTGAAAGGATCATATATGCAGTTAATACAGGGATAGGACAGTGGACACAGACGATGGTGAACATGACAATAAGCAGTCTATATCTATTCACAAACCGAGTAAACATGCAAACTACCCCCCCAAAACCCCAGCCACTCACTTTATAGCTCCTTCAGGAATCTAAAGCAGGGAAATAATACTTACTTGAAGCTGAGGCTACATCATCAGAGGCTGACAATAATGAACTTGAAAATGGTGGCAGAGAAGTCGGGAAAGGATGGAGTGGGGGTGGGGTGACGATGGGGGACCACTGATGGAGGCAGGGGAATGACGACAAAGAAGAATGGTTCATTTTGCTTTAGAAGAAGTTTATGTGGCAAAAGCAAGGGGTGAGAATGGGACTGTTAACCACCATGGAAGGTGACAATGAGAGAGCATGAAGCAGGGAAATGCATTCAGAATAAGCAGGGAGAGAATAGTAACAGCACTTCGTCCAACTTTCAAAGTGTATGATTTGATGGCCTGTTCAGGCCAGCCTCTCCTTTGTGCTTCAGAAATACTGAGGGTGAAGGGAGGGAAAAAAAAATTCCCAAATGCCAGATGTTCACTCTCAGAACTGTGTAATGTTAGAATGACCACAGAGGGATGGGAAGGTCTGTGTTTCCAAAACCTGCTATATTAAAAGAAGAAGCAAATGAAACCTTACTGAACTAATCTGTGTTGAGAAACAGCAGTTGGGCTGTGGAAGGAGCTGCACTGGCAGAGTGCCTGCGAGCATGCACTAAGTCCTGGGTTTCATCCCAGAACAGCGCGGGCGAAGGCAGGCAGACTGTGAGCAGGGCCAGTTTGGGTCATTTCGTATGATCTGTTTCTGTGTGTCTGTCTGTGTGTGTGTGTGTGTGTGTGTATAAGTCAGTGTGTGTGTGCGCACATGCAAAGACCAGAGATCAATGTGAACTGTCTTCATTAATTATTCACCATCTTGTTTTGACGTATCACTTTACTGAACCTGGAGCCCACCGATTCAGAGTCTGACAGGTCAATGGGCTGCAGGGACCCTCCTCTGTCGTGTCTCCCAGCACTAGGACTACAGGCACATGTGCTGCTGTGCCTGGCTTTCTGCACGGGTGCTCGGGATCTGATTTCTAAGTCCTCATTCTTGCAAAGCACTTTATCATCTGAGTCATCTATTTGCCCAGCCCTTAGTGTTCAGTGTTTAACAGAGAAAGAGAAAGAAAGGGAAGAAAAAGAAAAAAGGGCATGTTGCTGCTCCTTGCTGGGAATACGGCTTAGCTTCATCCTGGATTTCAAGTTATTACACCTGCTGCTACCTGTCTTAACCCTCATAAACTAAAACCAGAAAACATGCATTGCATATCATGTTTTTAAGTCAGAAGTGAAGAGCCACACACATTATCACCTTAAAATTAATTCTATCATTTGAAATAGTCTTTGTTTTTTCTATTTTTTTTAATGAAAACAAGACATTATTAAATCAAGTTCTGCATCAGGGTTCCTCTGTGTTCAATGAGCTCAACTGAAGTAAGTTTATGATTTAAGCTTAGTTGGGGGAGTACTGTGATTGCCTTCCACAGAGGTGGTAATGAGACAAACATTTCTTCATAACTAAGTTATGAAGTTCTTGAGTTTTACTCAAGAAAAGCACACATCAAAAAGATTATGACTAAAAGGAGGCCTACTGACACCAAGTCAGGGTTGTGACTGAAGCTATCTTACACATGCTTGGCTCATCTACGACCTACAGGGCAGCCCACATTGTTTCAAATTTTCTCTCAGTATGGGCTTATAGACTACTCAGACGCAAAGAAAAAGGAGCATGCTAGCCCATCTCTTCTTAGATGATAATGTGCTTTCATTCCCATATGCTACTCCTCTTAAAACTGCATGCAAGATGGATTTGTGAACAATGTCTTCATTCTCTTATAAACTCTGTTGATTTTCTTTATTTTTTAGTAGACACTGACCGCATTCTATAGATGAAACACTATACTAAGTATTTTAGGAAAGTCTTTGCCCTCCAGAAACACGTAGAGGTTTAAGAGAGCCAAAAAGAAAATTGTCTGTGACACAGGCCAGCACACGTGAGAGGACAATCCAAGGCTGCAGAGCAAGGAAACTCCAGAACACAGAAGTCAGAACATTGGCAGCATTGCTTTTGGGCAAAAGTCCAGCACCACTAGGATTTCTCTAAAAAGAAGAGTCAAGAATTAAACAGTATTGGGCTTCTGCTGCAGCTCAGTTGACAGAGTGCCTACCTGGCATGTGTGAACCCTGAGTTTGCTCCCAAGCACCACATAGCCCAGGCCTGGTGGCATAGGCCTGTAATCCTAGCACTTGGGAGATGGAGGCAGAAGTATCAGAAGTTCAAGGCCAGTTATATAGTAAGTCTGGGGCCACCTTGGGCTATGTGAGACCCTGTCTCAACTACCAACCAACCAACAGCAGCAAAGGCAACAACAAAAAAACACTATGAGTTATTCAGTGTAAACAATACCCTACATTAAGTTCACAACAAATACAGCATACCTTCTCGCTGAGCTCTGTGAGGGGCCATAGTGAGTCCGTCTTGAGGTATTTGGGCTTGTTCTACTAAGCCAGTCTCATTACTCTGTATGTAATCACCACAAGCAGAGTCGTTCTAGAAGAGAAGATAATGTGTTAGCCTATGTCACAGTAGAAAATTTCTGAGTCAAGTCCTAGAGTGCAAATACTGATTGTACTAGTTACCAGTGATTAAACATTAAGGGTAGAGAGATACTGAGTGTTAGTCACAAGTAGCGGTATCAATGTTTATTTAACAGTAACAATCTTTTCAAGTATTTAATTTCCAAGCTACTTTAACACACAAAAATCAAATTGCTAATCAGAGTTGCCAGGGATGTCCAGAATCAAAGGACATATAAAATGAGTGGTACACTTACATTAACTTCCCAAGGTAAGTGCGTTGGTATTTTGTATGTCAATCACTACATAAAGTTTATTTACTGACTGGTTTAATTACAGTCTATCAGGATGCTTTGTTAGGAAGAAGTGTTACTAACAGCACCATTAACATATACTAGCTCTTTCTAAGAAACGCTGAGCATGAATAGTTTTCCATCAAAGTCAAGCCATTCAGAAACTATTGGGAGCTTGACCCTGAGTCTACTCAGCCCACGGCTAGTGAACTACAGGTGTGTGCCTCAAAGAGTGGCTGTCTGCAATAATAAAAAGCACGCCGAGCTTACAGCTCTGCAGAACTAAGGCATTGTTACAGCCCTGTCATATCTCTATCCTCACACCCAGAGCCTCAAATTCCACCATCAAGTCACCTGTTTCAAGAGCCAAACATAGTAAATATACACCACCTTTTTAACTGTGTAAAGAAATGACACAAACGGAGGTCCTTAAACTTCCCACGGATCTCATGTAAGCATAGTGGGATTCCAGCTGCCAGTGCCTCATATGTGAATAGACTACACTAAATATTCTTGGGAACCAAGTCTTACATCTGCCTTCTAGAAACACAAGGCGCTAGGATTGTTTACAAAGAACCATGTCATAAGGAGAGTGCAGATTTCTTCAGTACCAACGGCTGAAATATTTGGCCTCACAGTCTTTACCAACTTGCAATATTATCAGTTTTTAATAGCAAACTCATATTTTTCCTAATTCAGATCCACAATCTTTTTTTTTACAGCCAGTATTTGCCAGAGAGATTTTGCTAATTAAAAATTCAACACCATTCTCAGTACTTTAAAACTCAGCAGCAGCACAGTGCTGGCAAGATGGTCCCGTGGCAGAGCACCTGCTTGGCATGTGCAAGGTCCTAGGTTTCATCAAATACAAACAAAAGCAGAATGGAAGCGTTCCAATCTTCTCAACTCAAACAGCTACTACCCAAAAGAAGCTTTCCGTTTCAATCACTGCTTTCCCATTTTATTCCTTGCAACTTTGTTTTGAATTACACATCTGTATGGATGGGTCTGTGCACATGAGAACAGGGCCCGAGGAGGCCAGGGGTGTGAGAGCCCCTAGATCTGGAATTACAGCTAGCTAGGGTCCTCTGAAGGAGCAGTGTGTACTCCCAATCACTGAACCATCTCCCCACTCCCATAACTTTTCTTATAGCAGGTTATTTTTCTACATTGCCAAAATGTTTAAAGACCATATACTTCCAAATACAAACAAATGAAAATTATGCAAAAATAAATTTCTACAAACAGATGAAAATCAAAACCGCAATGAGATCGCTTTACATCTAACAGATGGTTATTGTTTAAATAGAGGGGAAGAGTGGTGAAGATGTGGTACAATCAATGTCACCAAATCAAACACTCTAAAAAGAATAAGGCAGCAAATTTTGTTGAAAATATCTTAGAGTAAATTAACAATACTGCTTCCACAAGCATCACACTCAAACCATGGGGAAAGTAGTTTCCTTCACAACTGAAATCACACATCCGAAAAGTTAATTTTAAGAACAAAATTGTCAGCCATGGTGGCAAATGCTATCATCCTAGCTGCACAGAAAGCTGAAGCAGGAGGAGCTCAGGTTCGAGGCCAGCCTGAGCACTTAGCAGCAAGACTCTGCCTCAAAATAAAGTGAAGGGGGCTGAAGAGCTTAAGTACTAGAGGGCTTAAGTCCATCAACCCATGAAATACCCAAGTCTCAGTAGTTTCACCGATATGTGAAAATCATTCAGATTAAATTTAGAAACTGTTTCTAAAGTTCACAATGATCTATGAGAACATAACTGTGGAGTTTATTCGCACCAAATATGAAAGGCTGTTACTTATGCTGTCTCTGTCTTCACATGTGACACGTGACATTTAGTGGAGGGAAGGTACCATGATATCTGGGAACTATTGTTTGATATCACTGTGTACATAGGAATGACATCTACCTGCCCCATTAAGTTCTGGTTCCCTCTGACCTCTGGGGAAGAAATAAGCCAAGGAAAAGATGACAATTACTGACTCTGTTCTACCCAGTAGATACAGCACAAGAGGCAAGGGTAGTCTAATCTTAGCTCAACCAAAGGCAAAGTCCTGAGAATTAACCCATTGCATTTGATATGAACAAGTTCTAGAATGAGAAAAACACACCTTGTATGTATGTTAATTAAGCTGCAACCATAAAATGGACATCACAGCACAGGCATGATATGGACTCAATGTGTTAAACTGAACCATTAAGAAAGCTCCAGCACAATAATGTTGATACAGAGGCTTATTGCTAGGAGGGGATGGGAAGTAAGGGCAGCAGGTTTTACCCAAGAAGTGGCCTTGATGGTTTCCTTTTATGACTAACTCTTCATGCTTCTGCTCCTTTGATCTAAATAGTGCCAGCTATTAAGATGACAGGTGCACCATGAAAACACTCTACACTGGACACAGAGTGACAAAGATACAGGAAACAAACAGTAAAGTCCTGTACAAGAAATGAGTAAAATGGATCAAAGATTGCCTCACCTCTGTGCCAATACAATCCCCACAGCAAGATGTTTTAGGGTAAGGTGACAAGAACAATCTTAGGAGTACAGAAGGACCTAGACATGCATACATCCCCTCCCTAGGCCATGCCTATGTTCCAACTTCTTTATTTTTACAACCTCACCGCAGGAGAGAGGAGAATGCACAACAAGACCAAGGAGTCCTATGTAAGAAGCAAATTAACCTCAGAGCATGACAGCCCAGGCACCACCAGGCCTTCTAGGCCCTACAGCAGAGCCACAGCTGTACCTTCAGTCCAGAAGAGTCCTGGGAACCATGTAGAAATTTAAGCTTATAAATTTAAGGGGAGCCTTGACCATGATTCAGACAGTTAAGTGTGTACAGTGTTGGGAAATTGCATTAGGATTAAACACTTGAGCACACATGTGAGAACAGTCACTTATTCCCAACCAAGGGAAACAGACCATTTTCCCTAAAGCAACAGCTTTTCTATTCACCGCTGCACTACATGACCTCTTTGCAGGATGGGCTCTTTCTCAGGTAGTGCTCTAAACACCACACACAACCACTCGCCCCTCCAGGGCCATTTAAAACAAATCAATTTTACTGTAGGAAACTATCCCAATTTAGACTGCCTTAATAATAAGCATAAAATCCCACATGACCTCTCAGAGTGCTCATTTCAGTGACCAAAGTCAGGTTTTTAACTTTCTCAGCAGAAGGATCTACTTCTAATTCAAATCACAAGCTGGAGCCCAAACACTGAAGGAAACTCTCTAGTCAAGTATCAGAACAGTAAGACAACAGTTCATAATTATGACCTCTCCTACTGTAAAGTATCTCTTCTAGGTCTGCACCCATTCATGCATCAGGACAAATAAGACCAAAACAAAACAAAAGAACCAACACTGTTCAATGCTTCCAGTCTTAAAGCAATACATTTAGAGCTGTATTTGAAAGCTTAGGACAGATAATTCAAAGACCTAGCAATGAAGGTCAATTATATAAATTTGAAATAGTATTCTAGAAGTACCCAAACTCCAGGAAAATGTATGTGCTAGTGGAATTCTGAATTGATAAAAACTCTTAGAAGACTGACAATCTAAGAACATCACAGGCAAGGTGACAGCATGACGCCTGCCTTGAATGAAAGGCAAGGTGTGTGATGAAAGAATGGACATCTGGGACTTTGGTTAAGGACCTATTGAAGCCCAGGGGCCACCAGTCACTGAAAGAAAACGTAACATGACTAAAAGACTGATTCAGAAACATGTACGTGGTGGCAGCACCCAAAAGTAAAACGGGCAAGCTAAAACCATGGGAACTAGTTTGGGGATTACAGTAACCATCTTGCATCAAGATCCAAAAGAACATGGCGTCAGTCCTTCATGATCAATGGTCAGAGCAGAATGAAGAGGAAAGACAATTAAGGGCTAAGGTAATCAAGCAGCATGGTGACTGAAGTACAACTGCACCACTGGATAAATCTGGATGTTTTTTATGCAAGTGTTTTTTTAATGTTTCATAATCTTAATATTTATTGAAATTGTATCTTTTTTTAAATTTTTTGAATTTTAAATAGCTTGTTTTACATGTCAATCCCAGTTCCCTCTTCCTCCCCTCCTCCCGCACCCCCCCACTATTCCCCCCCATCCTCCCACCCTATTGCCAATTCCTTCCACATAGGGGATACAAGTGTTTTTATACACATTAAGTTAAAAGTGACAGTGACCTTCAGGGAGATATACAGCACAGACTCACACAGACAATTATTTTCATCGGTGTCCATACAAACTGGTGACAAGCCAGCCCTTTAATCTGACCTTCAAAACCTTCTGTAGCTCAACACTGACTGTCTCTCCAGAATTCTGGTCATCCACCACAATTTCCTGTGCTAACCATCCTTTGACTAACCTGTTATCTCACACATTTTTCTCATGCCACACCCATCTTCAGGACAGTTATTAAAAACAAGAGGAGGAGGACACCACAATCTTATACTGGGCACTGTGAAGCTTGGAGAGTGACCCTTTCAAAATCTGAAATGTGGACTGAAGAGATGGCTCAGTGCTTACGAGTACCTGTTGCTCTGGCAAAGGACTTGGGTTTGGTTCTCAGAATTCACAAGCAGCTCACAGCCAAACTGGTGCCCTTGCCTAGCCTCCAGGGGCACCAGGCACACCTAGCAGGTAAGGCATACAC